TGTATAGCCTGCGTTTATGTTTCTTATAAAAGGTATTTGCAATGAATAAATAATTGAATGTGCAGAACTCTATCATTCTATCTCCAGCCTCATTTCTCTCAATGAGCCCATGTTTTCCAACTACTGATCCTTCTTCCCTGTTCCCAACTTTTGCGTTCCAGTCACCCATTATTATCAATGCATCTTGATTGCATGTTTGATCAATTTCTGACTGCAAAAGTTGGTAAAAATCTTCTATTTCCTCTTCTTTGGCTCTGGTTGTTGGTGCATATATTTGAGTGATAGTGATATTTATGGGACTTCCTTGTATGCATATGGATATTATCCTGTCGCTCACCACATTGTATTTCAGGATAGATCTAGAAATGATTTTTTTAATTATGAAACCAACTCTATTTTTTCTCACCTTTTCATCCCCAGCATAGTAAATCATATAATCATCTGATTCAAGATGTCCCATGCCAAGCCATCTCATTTCACCAATACCTAGTATGTCATTATTTATGTGTTCCATTTCTTTCTTAACAATGTCCAATTTTCCTACATTCAAGCTTCTCACATTCACGTTCCAATCACTAGTGTCTCCTTATAGCTGTTTCTCTTTCTCCGTATTTCCATTTCTAAGATCTCAGTTTCAATCGCCATGTCTGTTAGTCCAAATGATAATCTAAGTGTGCTCTATTGTACATAGGGTTTTCGAAGGCCTATAATTTCAGAAGTGGATGGCCAATACTTCTTTCTAGTCTGTCTCAATTTTTAAATATATATAATAGTATCTGACAGACAAGCATTCTACAGAAAAGAGTAGATGAAAGACATTTACCAGTAAGAAAGATCAATATTCAATGTTGCTGCCCACCCGGCTACATGTTTGGTTGTTAACTTAATTACAACTGAAAAATCCCCTGTGCTATCGGGCTACATATTCATGTGGTGTTTTCAATCACTTGCTATGCATCTGAGAGCTGGACAGTGAATTAAGAATGACAGAAGAAGAAGTGATGCCTTTGAGCTGTGCTGAAGGAGAGAACTGCATATCCCATGGCCTGCCAAGAGAACAAACAGCTTATGTCTTGGAGAAGGTTCAGCAAGAGTGTTCCTTGCAGGCAAAGATGGCGAAGCTTTGTCTCACACACTGTAGGCATGTTGCTAGGAGAGGCTGTTTCTTGGACAAGGCTTTCATGCTTGGTAAGATGGAGAGTTAGTGAAAGAGAGGAAGACCCTAAATGAGATGGATTTACACAGTGACTGCAGCACTGGGTTTCTGTGTACTGGAGATGATGAGGATGGCACAGGATAGGACACAGTTCAGATCTGTCATTCAGAGGGTCACTGTGAGTCATACTTGACTCAACATCACCGAACAATAACAAGGATTAGCAAATGGAATTTTTGTGGCGCCACAATCTACCAGATAGATCATTTCTCTATTGAAAATCTTGTATGTGTGGATGTTCAAAAAGAGGTAAGTTTTGAATAAAATGTATGAATAAGTACATGATTTCTGAGGAAAGTTTAGAGGCTCTTCGGGAAATAGGTTGTAATCCACTTGTTCCACCTAATCTCCCATCATGTATCTATCTGCTATCCTGATAGGTACTTAGAGATATTGTTGTTATGTGCCATCAAGTTGGATCTCACTCACAGCTGACCTTCCCATGGTTTTACAGAGGCAGTAAAATGCACATAATATTACCCATATTTCTCCCATGGAGCAGGTGGTGGATTTGAACTGTGGGCTTTTGGGTTGGCAGTGCAGCTCTTTACCACTAGGCCAGCCAAACTCTCTATTTAAAAATGGAATGAGAATTACTAAAATTTTAGTACATCGCATGTTAAGTATCAATAAACAGTTGCTGAATCAATTTATCTGACATTCTCCAATCCTATGTCAGTTTATGCTATGTCTTAGAGCACATTTATCACCTACTGGAACACTGTTGATCTACCAAATTCTTGCTCTCCAGAAAACTCATTCAGTTCTGCTTCAGTTTATCTTATTCTTGGCATTTTACTCTGTTAACTACTGTCTGAATGCCTATAAAGTTTACTGTAAACATGATAAACCATAATAATCTGATATATCATGTTTGTCTTTTTCACAATATTATAAATTCCTTACCTATAAGATACTCATTAGGTTTTTTAATGCAATATTTTACAATATAAATCAATGCAAAACATTTTATAAGACATGTAACAGCAAATTTTACCCCCTACTCATCCTCACTCCTCTGCTCCTATCCCTTCCCCTCTTGGTGCCCCATACACTTAACTAAAATTTTATAATAATGGTCTTATGCATTATTTGTCCTTATGAGACTGAGTCAATTCACATAGCATAATGCTCTCCCAAGTCTCTCCCAAGTTATGTAATATTTTTCTTTTTTTTTTATGATAATACAGGACTCACCTACTCAAAACAATATTTATCATTATTTTTCAAAATCATTGCTCGTGAGTGCTGTGTAGTATTCCATTGTGTGAATGTACCACAGTTTCTTAATCCATTAGTTGTGGTTGGACATTCGGGCTGTTTTCATATTCTTGCAATGGCGAATAATGCTGCTATGTGTAAAAATCTCCATTTGTGTCTCAGTTCTAATTTATTTGGGGTATATTCCTAGTAGTAGAATAACTGGGTCATATGGAATTTCCATGTTCAGCTTTTTGGGGACACACAAAACTGCCTTCTATAGTGGGTGTACCATTTTACAATCCTACCAACAGTGTATAAGCATTCCCACCTCTCCACATCCTCTCCAACATTGCTGGTTGTCCTAGTTTTTACCAGCTCTTGCATGGGTTAACATGGTTCTGGGGAATATGTACTACTGACTGACTGACCTAGAAAACTGTTTAACAAATAAAAATGACTCTAAATTCTACAATTAAGGTACTCACCTAGTTTATAATGACTATTGCATGGGCTCGTATGGTCCTGGGGGCATGTGTACTGTTGCCTTGCTGACCTATCAAACTTTTTGAAAATAAAAATTACTTCACATTCCAGAACTACAGAAATTATGTAGCATAAGAGACTTCATTTTCTTTTCTCCAGATCCTCAGATAATGTAACAAATCATCTGTTACTACTTTCTTAATTACAGGCATGGAAAATGATACCGACAACTCAGCCGATTCAGCTTTATCTATAAAGACCTTTCGTGGAGTTCCCCCAAATTCTTTTGAAGAGTTTCCCTCTTCAGCCATAGAAGGTTGGACAGGAGACAGCATTATTGGGAAACTGAAATGTCCTCAAGAAAGTGGTTCAACTCTCCATGTGAATAATGCTACCCTGAGATACCTGAGGAGCCCCTTAAGCACTCAGCTGATACCCACCATCTATATCCTGGTGTTTCTGGTTGGCATGTCGGCCAACGCAGCAACCCTGTGGATGCTCGTCTTCCAGACCCGGTCCATCTGTATGGCAGTCTTCTACACCAACCTGGCCATTGCAGACTTTCTGTTTTGCATCACACTGCCTTTTAAGATAGCCTACCATCTCAATGGTAACAACTGGGTGTTTGGGGAGGCCATGTGCCGGGTCACCACTCTCATCTTCTATGGAAACATGTACTGCTCCATTCTACTCCTCGCCTGCATCAGTATCAGCCGCTACCTGGCCATTGTCCACCCTTTCACTTACCGGGGGCTGCCCAAGCGCACCTATGCCTTGCTGACTTGTGGACTGGTGTGGGCCACCGTTTTCTTGTACATGCTGCCATTTTTCATCCTGAAGCAGGAGTACTATCTTGTGCAGCCAGGAATCATCACTTGCCACGATGTCCATAATACATGTGAGCCATCATCTCCTTTCCAAATCTACTACTTCATTTCCCTGGCATTCTTTGGATTCTTGATTCCCTTTATGGTCATCATCTTCTGCTACACAGCCATCATTAGGACACTTAACACCTATGATCATAGATGGTTACGGTCGGTGAAGGCGAGTCTCCTCATCCTTGTGATTTTTACCATCTGCTTTGCTCCAAGCAACATTATCCTCATTATTCACCACGCTAACTACTACTACAACAACACTGACGGTTTATATGTTATCTATCTCATAGCCTTGTGCCTGGGGAGCCTGAATAGTTGCCTAGATCCATTCCTGTATTTTCTTATGTCAAAAATCACAGATCACTCCACGGCTTACCTTACAATGGTGAAATCATCTTAGACCATAAGGAAAGCCATGTGGGAAAATACACCTTCTTAGGTTATTATAACACATGATGCAAGAAGCTCTGGCCTATATGTACTTGCAAGCATTACTCAGAAAAATTGCTGTGAAATAAATACAAAAAGCCTACTAGCTTTTCAGATTTAAAAAAATAATACTTTGTGTCTCCTCCCCCCTTTTTTCTGCCACTATGTAAAATCCTGCTTCTCCATATAAAATTCTCTTTCTCCTCCCCTTTGTACTTCAATGGTGGAATTACATGATTGAAATCTGGCACTGCATTTTCTTTTACTGTCTAGTTTGAATCCATGCTGGTAGCTGATTCGATCTTTGCAACTTCCACTGTGAATGTCTCTCACTAGAGCCCTTCACCCTAGCCTCACCTTTCTTCTCTGAAGATTTTCCTCACCGCCACCCTACTCTCCACGAGTAATTTGAATACAACACACCAACAAAGGCCTGTTTGAAATCTCTCATTGACTCTCCACTGCTTCTGAGATACCAGTAAACTTTTATCTGACATTCAGGGCCAATTTTTCTTATTTTCTGTTAATCCTTGAAAATGCTCTAGGCGCCGGCTAAAGCTCTTGCTCTACATTATTCTCCTCTTGGCCCCAACCTAGAAGTAGAAAGCAATTTCCATCATCTTTGTCCCAATTCTGTTCAATCCCTGAAGTTGTTGATTGACAAGCTAGAAATGCCATTTTTCTCATCTGAACCGCTAAAGCACTTTTTTGTTATTATTTTTTTTTCTTCCATAAACTTTATGAACTTTAATAAATGTCAATAGTCATAGAGTGGCTTCAGGCCTTTTGTTCATAGGGTCGCTATCAGTCATGCTTGACTCGAAGGCAATCAACGAACAACATTATACACATATAATTAGCTCATTTAAAAATGAATAATACTAGCATAAAACACATTTAGCATTATCTTCTCTGATGGCTCATTGAGTAGAAAGTTGCAATGCTAACTCAAACTTGGCAGTTCAAATCCACCAGCTGTTTGGAGGGATTAAGATGGGAAATCTCCTCTCCTGAGATTTACAGCCTCTGAAAACATAGTGAAAAGTCATCTGTGAGTCAGTTCTGACTACATAGCAATGAGATGTGCTGAGGGCAGGGGAAAGGTGTCTGCCCTCTTCCTTCTTTGAGTAGTTGTGGCAACTATAAAAGTTTCATGTTCTGGGAGCTCTGGTAGCCTAGTGGCAAGAACCTGTGCTGCAATCTCAAAGGCATGCAGTTGAAATTCACCATGCTCCGCTGAAGAAGGAGGGGCAATATCTTCTTGTGCCAGCTGGATCTAACCCGATGGTACACAACAACAATAGAAAAAAGAAAAAAAGTTCTGTGTTTTTAGCTTCTTTCAACCTAGCTCTGTGCTTTGTACATCATGTTCTGAAGGAATAAATGAAATATCAAAGCACTGAAACAGCATGGAAGTCATTAGTTATACTACAAGGGCAAGGTGATCTGTAGCACAGAGGACAAAATTACTTCTGGTTGAACATGTTTAAAAAAAAGAAAGAAGATAAAAATATACCCATAAGGTTATTTTAAAAGTTAAAAATAATCCCTTTCTGTTCTTTGTATACACAGAGTTCTTAGAATGGAAAACTGTATCTTATTTTATATACTCAATATATTTCTTCAGGTAAATAACTGTTCCCCTTCACTGAAGGATTTAGATAGATGGTAGGGTATTGATGTGTAGGGACTGGTGGTATTTTAGAAAATTAAAGACGCTTAGGAACCCTTTAAGACTGGAATATTACGCAGCACTGAAAAAACAAAGAACTCATGAAATATTACACAATATTGGTGACCCTAAAGGGCATTATGCTTAGTGAAATATCTCAGTCATAAAAGGACAAATACTGTATAACATCATTGTTATAAAACAAGACTGATATGGGGGTTGGGTGATAACTGAGGAAGGAGTGGATAAATAATGAACATGGCACTGGAATAGATGTAAAAAAGAACTGTTTAAAATAAATATATGATTAGGCATTATTTGTATAATAAGAGTCCAGAATAAGAGGTGCATACCAAAGTGATGTGGAGGAAGGGAGGAAGGAAGGAAATTATGCAACAACGAATGAATACATACATATATATATATTTAAAAGTGAACTGGGGAGTGGGTAAGGAGGAAAATGTGCAACCACAAATGAATAAAAATCAACTTTTCTGTAAACTTTCATTAAAATAACAATTTAAAAAAATGGGGAGGAAAAGAATGAAGGAATGATTATAGAAATGCATTTACCATTTACAATAGAAATATTCACTGACCATAACTTTTTAAGAATCATAAAAGGAATAAAATATATATTTGTTTAAATGTGTATTTGTGACTGGAAGTTTTCTTAGTTTTTCCTTCATATTTACTTTATGGGCTTAGGCAGGAAGCCTTACACAGGAAGAACCATTCTAGTAAATGTATGGTTATGTTAAAAATGAGCATGATGTAAACATTAAAGAAAAAAAGAAATGGCAAGAAGCTGCACTGCAATTCCAAAGGCATGCAGTTTGAATCCACCAGATGCTCCTTTGAAGAAGGAGAGGCAATCTCCTCCTGTTCCAGTCAGATCTGATTTGATAGTACACAACAAGGAGGGGGGAAAAATTAAAAACAAGGAAAAAAAATCTAAAATCATTTTAAGATGACAAAGACATCATTGAACAGAAGGACTTCTGTCTAAACAACTCATGAACTTAAACACAATTTTATCTCAGGGAAAAATACAGCAGTGTTTGCTTATCAAAACCACAATTTTTGTAAAAAAATTATTATTTTTTGTCTGTGTACTGTCAAATTGGATCTGATGGGTACAGGAGGAGATTGCCCCTCCTTCTCCAGCAGAGCATCCGGTGGATTCAAACCACATAGCTCTGGGATTGCAGTACAGCTTCTTGCCACTAGGCCACCAGAGCTTCCTCAAAACCTCACGTTTTAAGGAGGAGACACACAAATAGCAAACAAGAATATTTTGGGAAGATATAATTCTTATGTTCTCAAGACAAAGGCTTCAATTTTAAAATAGACTACAAGAGAAGGTCTCAAGGAAGCAAATACAGAAATGTGTTGTACTCTGTCAAGTGCTGGCAATATCCTTATCTTTCATCTTCTACACTGATGGTAAAAGAATCTAAGACTAACTACAAGGTCACACTCAATATTCTATTAAGGAGGGCCAGCTTAATTCATTCTCAATAATCTTTGGTAAAACTATGTTTTCATTTTTAGCAGAAACTACTTTTTATTTCTGCTTTCTCTGACATAGTCTGACTTTATACAGGCAGTCCTTAGATTAAGATCAAGAAGTTGTCTTCGGTATGATTTTAAGTCTAATTTATAGGCAATTCAGAACAAGGTGCATATGGTTCATATTTAGTCTTATTTTATTGCAAGAAAGGCTCCAAGCCTTTCCAGTTATTTAAAAGCTCTCGAACAGCAAGTGAAGGTGACTGTGATGAATTTTTTGTATGCACAGTTAAGTCAAATTATTTCTAAGAGGGGTGAGATTTACATAGCACTAAATGGCAGGTAGTAGTTGTCATAAATGGGATGTTTCTGGTATAGGACTTATATACTCCAATACTAGTGGTATAATTTATTTTCTTCTATTATTTCCCAAGGCCAGACCTTGGAAAGGAATGCACAAAAACACTGCTATAACAAAAACAACCACTGACCTCCAGGTTATCAAAATAGGGAATAAAAACCAACAAGACTTGTCAAACAGACAACACAACTGATTTTCCTTGGAAAAATACCTGAGAAAAGAACACTTTGAAAGCAAAGTGCTGAAAAGAACATGCTGCTTAAAAAAAATTTCCATATAATCAGATATGTGTTGCTGCTTGGAACTGTAGTGTTTTAAACAAGTTGGAAAATTGTTGTAGTATAATTTAAGCCCCTACTTTATAGCCCAAAATGGTTTAATGAATGTGTATGTACATAAAATGTAAGCATGCATTCTTATGCACACACAATTGTGCATATTTTCATTTAACAATATACTTCCTAAAAATTGCTGAAAATAAACCCACTCATACTTTTTAACAGCTACGTAGTACATCACTGTATAGTTATCCTACTGTTGTTAGGTGCCTGGGTGCTCTGACTCATAGTGACCCTATGAACAACAGATCAGAAGCTAAAATCTTGCCCTCCCCTGCACCATCTCACAGTCTCGACCATGCTCAAGCTCATTGTGGCACTCAGTGTGTCAATTTGTCTTGATGATGGTTTTTCTCTCTTTTGCTGACTCTCTTTGTTTCCATGCATGATGTTCTTTTCTAGGGATTGACCCCTTCTGATATATAGTTTCTTTATGTAGTCCTGCTTGATGAGCAAACAATGTTTTGTACTTGGGAAAGTTTGTAGTCAGGGACCTCTTCAAATTATTGAGAAGCAGTGATGTCAGCTGAGGATGAAAGTGCACTTGATTCAGGCCATGGTCTTTTCAGTTACTTGTTATGCTTCTCAGAGCTGGACAAGGAATAAGGATAACAGAAGAAGAATTGATGACTTTGAGCTATGGTGGTGGAGAAAAGTATTGAATATCCCATGAACTGACAAAAGAACAAATAGTATGTCTTGGAGAAGGTGCAACCAGAGTGCTCCTTGGAGGCAAAGATGATGAAGCTTTGTCTCACATACTTGGGCCTATTCCTAGGAGAGGTTACTCCTTGGAGAGGGACCGCAAAGGAAAGGAAGACCCTCAATTAGGTGGATTGACACAGTGACTGCAGCAATGGGCTTGAATGTGTCAGAGATGATGAGTATGGCACAGGATAGGACAGTATTCAGATCTTTTGTTTGTTGGGTCACTATGAGTCGATGGCACCCAACAATATAACTCTTGATGAGAACATAGGTCTTTTGCTATAATAGTGTTGCAATAAACATACTTTTTATATTTGTCTTAATATATAATAACACAGACTTCGGAATAAGAGAGAGCCTGTCTATAATGTGTTTTTAGATAGCTGTGGGCAAGTTTATTAATCTGAGTTTCATCATTGATAAGATGGTAGTTGTTATTAAGTGCTGTCAGATACAGATGACTCATAGTGACCCTATGAATGGAAGACCTGAACACTTGTATAACTTTCATTGTTTCTCAAAGTTCATAGGGTTTCCGAAGGCAAGCTATTTCTAAAGTTGATGCCACTCCTGCTTCCAAGCTTCTTTTAATTGGGGAACTCCACAAAGCACTGTCTACCATGGGTAACCATGGATAACCATTTGACACATCAGTGTCACAGTGTTCAGCATCACAGCAACTATAAGTTACCTCTGCACAGCAAATGGACAAACCAGTGCTATACCACGTAGAAGAATGTTTGACCAAAAGCAATAAAAACTAGGCCTGAGGGCTGCAGGCCTGAGGGCCCAAATGTGTTTTTAAATAGGAGGCAAAATTAAATCAACTCACACCCATTGTCAAGTAAACGTTCCACCCTAATCCTAACCAGAACCATTAAACAAACCTCTGTAGAATCCAGCTGCTGCAGACAACTTCCAAGTTGGACTCCCAAGATGGCAGTACTTGTACTTAATTCACAGGGTCATTACCATGAAGTAAGATAATATACATAAAATACATATCAAAGTGTGATTGTTGTTGTTGTGTGCCATTGAGTTGGAACTGAACCATTGCTGACTCTCCAATGGGTTTTCAGAGCCTGTTAATCACACTGAGGTTGGTTTTCCATCTTTCTTCCATGGGGTAGCTGGTGGATTAAAACCACATACCTTTGCATAGGCAGCACAGCTTCTTCCCACCAAACCACCAGACAAAGATAAGTGTTCATAAATGTTGGCTCTAGCCAAAATTTGGGAGTTCTGGTAGCCTAGAAGCAAGAAGCTGTGCTGTAATCTCAAAGGCATGCAGTTCAAATCCATCCACCAGCTGCTCCCTGGGAGAAAAATAAGCAATCTCCTCCTAATTCCGACTCATCTGTACACAACAGCCAAAAATATTTTTCCTGTATCAGAAGAGGCACTTCTTAAGGTCTAAATACTTACCCATTACTCAGGTTCACCTGCACTTGGGTATTCGGCAGTCACAAGCTGGGTGACAGACGTCTACCCTCCAGTGACAGGCCACCCAAATCTCAATTTAGTATCTTTTCATTAGTGACCATTGTCTGTAGGGCTGTTCAAAACACCAGTAAGGGTCCAGCAGGAAGATGTAATCTATTCTGCTTTATGAGGACTGTGACTAGGCCTGCAAATAATATGTTAGAACCTAGAACTGAAATATCTATTACTCAGCTCCAGTGTTTCTTCCTCCACCTATCTAATTGGAAGGGAGCTCTGGTGGCCTAGTAGAAAGAAGCTGTACTGCAATCCCAAAGGCACTCAGTTCGAGGCCACCATGAGCCCTGCAGGAGATGAACCAGCAATGTCCTCTGAAAATCGACAAAAGGGTCAGCTACAGGTCTGTTCTGACTTGATAGTATATCAACCCTCCAACCCCACCCCAACAACAAGAACAGCAACAACAGTAACTTAATGAGAGCTCTGGAAGCACAGTCTGTAGAAACTTCTAACCCAAAAGCCATGCTTTTCCACCAACAGCTCCTTCAGAGAAAGAAGGGCAATTTCCTCCACTGGAATTTACAGCTCCACAAACTCAATGCACGGTTAGCTAGGAGGTGATTCAGACTTGATGCCAACAGGCACCTAGCTAATAATGTTTAACTTGAAGGCGCAGCTTCTGTTCTACTCCCACGTTAATTTCTCTTTGGATTCTAGTCCACAATTTCAACCATCTCTGTGAAGTTTTAACACTGTGCCACATACTGATATGTCCTGTTATGTAACTATGCTTTTTGAGAACGACCACTGCCATTTCTAAGCCATCTTGAGGGCCCATACAGTACATTCAAATGGTCTCATGTGTATCTTCATAGCCTCTCTTCTCTACCAAACAATTCCTGTGCACTGCCCTGTGCATATGGTATGCGTCCAATAAATACCTTATGAATTGAACCCTGAAGAAGAACTCGCTCACAACTGAGTTTTCAATTAAAGAACAGAAGCAGTAGGAATCAGCTCGGCACTTGGGTTCTCTCTAGTATTTTGACATCAGAAAAATAACAGCTCTGTAATTTCCATTCCGATTCACTGATTACTGCGACAAAAAGCTCACGAGCTTTTAGGAAAATGGGTCAAAAATGTACCCACCCAGGCCTCTAAGGTGACAAGAAACAAGCCTCACCTCAAGTTTCCGCTGCTTTGCCTGGTAGAGGACGTCCTGGTAGTGTTGAGCAAACTCTGGGTCAACATTTCTAATCTTAGCCATGGGTAACAGCAAGGTGTCCAAAGTTTTCAAAGGATTTGCCTCGTCGATAGCGTCATTGATGTACCTTATAGCTACAATTCCTAGAAAATTAAGATAAAAGTTTTCCTTTTAAGAGACATTTCATGGCAAATGAACTAAAGCCACTTACTGCAAACAAATTCGATTACAAAATGGTGAAGACCACAAAAACTCTGTGTGTGTGTGTGTGTGTGTGTGTGTGTGTGTATGTACATGCGCACTTGCACGCAGACTCATGTGTCCCTACACACACACACACACACACACACACAGTATAGTAAGATTGCAGGATATAATTTTTGCACAAAAATTTAATAGTATTTGTATATACCAGCAATGAGCAGTGTGAAAATGAAGAAAACAATTCCATTCACAGTGTTATTGTTTTGTGTGCTGTCAAATCAGAACTGATTCATAGGTGATCCTCTGGTGGGTTTTCAGAGGCTGTAAAATGCCAAAGGAGGAGATAACTAATTTTTCTATTGAGGGGCATCTGGTGGATTCGAACTGCCTGTCTTTGGTTAGCAACACAACTCTTTACCCACTTGGCCATCAGAGCTCCTTTCCACGTATACTGCTGTTGTCGTCGTTATGTGCATTCAGGTTGCCTGCATCTCATAGGGGCCCTATGTATGATAGCTCTGAAGCCTGGCCTATTGTGAGCCAGTCTCACTGACTCTGACACACCTATCCCATTGCCCTATTTACTGTGTTAATCCATCTCCTCTGGGGTCTTCCTCTCCTGCACTGTCCCTTCATCCTTCCAAGCATGATGTCCTTCTCCAAGGACTGGTCCCTCCCAGCCACGTGCACAAAATATATAAGAGAGAGCTTCAAAATCCTAGCCTCCAAGGAGAAAGTTGGCTTCATCCTCCCCAAGACAGACTTGTTTGTTCTCTTGGTGGTATGTTCGAGATTCTTCTCTAGCACAACACATAAAAAAAGGCAGAAAATAACAAGTGTAGGTGAGGATTCAGAGAAATGAGAAACTTTATCCATTGCTGATGGAAAGTAACATGGTGTACCACTTTGAAAAACATCTTAAAAATGTTAAATAGCTGCAATTCCACTCTTCGATCTACCCAAGAGAACAGAAAGTATATAATCAAATAAAAACTTGTATGTTGAGTCTTCTATTACTACTATTCATAAGAACAAACAAAAATTAGAAACAATTTAAATGCCTAATTCACGATGAATGGATAAAAAAAATAAATGTACTTCAAAAAAGGGAATATTATATACAGTACAACAAGGATGAATCTTGAAAACATTATACTAAGTGAAAGAAGCTAGAATCAAAAGGGCACATATAACCAAGATTCCATTTACATGGCACAGGATAGGGCCAGGCTCAGATCATAGGGTCGGATCATACGATTGCTATTGACTTGCTATCAACACCACCAGCATCTAACAACAACATTTACATGAAAGGTTCAGAGCAGGCAAACACATAACTAAAACAGATGGTGGTTGTCAGTGGATGTAGGGAATGAAAATTTTCTAGAGTTAGATAGTCATGATAATTGCACAACTTTTAAAATATACCGAAAACAACCGAATTGTAAACTTTAAAAGAGTAAATTTTAGGGCAAGTGAATTGTGAAAACAGGAGAAAACAGCTTTGTAGCAGTAATGTTAATAACTTCACTAGGAATATTACAATGAAATGTGCAAGGAGTTGGAGTCAGAAAATCAAAAGGGCTGAACTCGCTCAGCATTTCTTAAGCTCAAGGAACTGAACAAATTCAAAGCTCAAGTTGCTATAATCAAGGATGCTTTAGGCAGAATATTAAATGATCCAGGAAGTATTAAAAGAA